ATGGAAACGGGAGATAAGATGTCAGATCTGGTCTTCTGCTAACATGATCTGACTCTTTTTATCTGAAGATGTTTTAGAAATCAGATTTTTGTTTTTGTTGTTGGAGAGGTTGAGGTCAAGAAAGAGGTTCTCTGTCCTCTAAAGGCTGACATTAATATTTTATACATTTCTTTTTTAGCCACCACTTTGTTTCCGGCTGAAATATCTCAACAACTAACAGATTTAATTGTCATGTTGACTCTGTTGATCCTCTAGCAGGTTAATATTTGTGGTTTAGAGTGAAATATCACAACTTTTACAGCTACTTTCTGATGGATTTTCAAATTTCAGGTCAGTTTCAAGTTTTAACAACTTTGGTCTTGACGATCAGTCTCAGCTGTACTTTTTAGCATTATTATTATTAATTAGCTAGCATGCTACACTGCTCAGTCCACCACTTTAGTCTCAACAACTAATTGAACAACACATTCTAAGCCCCACCCCCTTTTGGTCTGTGCTCCAATCACAGTTGAGCGATCCTCGGTCAACTTCCTCCTTTCCTGTACTTAGATATGCTACGTGCTAAGCTAATCTATGTCGATGAAAAATTTTGAGGATGGTTAAAAAGACAGAAGTAACACCTTAAATTAGCAAACCCTGACAATAAATCCACCTGAATGTTTCACACTGGACCTTTAAAGTATGAAAAGTAAAAGTACTGTATACGGATACAAGGCACACATTTTATGTACTAACTGTAAAAAAAAGAAATAAAAAATAAACTAAACTGTGAACATAATAAACATTATATCTGCTAAACATCAGCATAGTAGCGTTTTCAGTGTGAGCTTCCTGTGACCATCTGAATTAGGAATTTCAGCCGTTTTTATGGCGTTTTATGTTTTATATCTTTATTGTCCGACAGCTTGAAGCACTCCTGATGCGTGACGTCGTGTCCGTGAAACAACCCGTCCTGTTTTATCGGCTCCAGAACAAACAGGACGCAGACTTTAAAAGCACAGTGTTGACATACTCGTGATAATATCATCATCCACATCCAATCCACAATCCACATTACTCGCTGACATCAGTGTCTCAAACCCAAAGAGGCAAATTAGATCAGGTGGCGTCGTCATGTCTGTGTCTTCTGAAATGTTGATGATTGTTAACCACCGCAACCTTTTCCTGATTCATTATTATGAGACAGTATGAAGCAAAAAACATAATTTAAGTTAGAAGTTAAGGCCTCTAATTGTTTTATTTCTTTGGTTATTTTAATGTGGTACCTTAAAAAACAACAGGTAACATTTTTTAAAGCTTTGTTTTTAT